TGCATATTTTTTCAACTGGTAGACAATTAAAAACAGGTAGTAGTGAAAATTGTTGGAAGCGTCAAGCGACTAAGTATTATTTAGAGAACGAGACGGGTTCTGTAACGTAGATACAAATTTGGGGGTGGACGAGTGCTTTAGCACGAGTCTCCACCCCCAAATTTGTATCTACGATACAGAACCTGTCGAGTTTTCTAAATGATTTGTGACACGATCAATCAAAAATTGCTCCGCCCACTTTATAACTTTGCAGCATCCAAACTTCCGCTAGAGTTCTGTAGATGAGGCCCCGACGGGGAATACGCATCCGCAGTATATATATTTCCATGGAAAACGTAAAATTCGGTCAGATTAGTTTTGACAGTTTAACGGGGTAGACGTAATCGAGTGATAGTCAGTCTTAATGGATAAATTGCAGGATTTAACCGTCATTGTTGTGATCTATTGTAGATGGAGATTTATCATAATATATTTCAGGGGTATTAAAATTCCGGTTTAACTGGATTTACGAAAATAGGATTTACAGAAAATTTTTCGATGGACTTTGATGTCACGGATTTTTATTTTCAAATTGAATTGCGACATCAGAAACGAAATGAAAGAGACGTGTGGCTGTCGTCAGCGAGAAGGATTTTAAAAAATAAAAAACGCGGAAAAATGGACCTGAATGATTTTGCACGGGGAGAGTGGATGTTTTCCGTGAATTTTCCGTTTTGTTTGGATCTAAATTACGTACAGAGGATGTTTTCCGTTATTGCGAATTTTCCTTTTAGTTTGGATCGAAATTACGTGTAGATTCTGTGTGGAATAAGTTTTTAAAAAGTGATTGAGAAATTTTGACATTTTACATTCTCAGGAAAATACCGGCTATTTCCCCAAAATTAATAATAGGAAAACATCAGCATTTACTATTTGTACGTGCTTTTGCTAAATTGAATCAGATTTATTTTTAGACCGTGCTGTATTTTAGATACAGAATAGTTGGCAAATACAATACTGTATACAGGGCTAATACAGAACGGAAAGTAGCTCCGCCCACCACAGTCCCGTTCTGTATTGCTAATACAGAACAGTAAACTTCAAAGAAAAACACCGCTATCGTGTCACAACATCTTTTAAAGTAATTTTAAAAAAATATTATCAACCGATTAAATGTATAATAATTACATGAAGACATGATACAGATAAATAATATCAGCAGATTCATTAAAACTCAAATATTATAGGCACATGTTTACTCATCAATAATTATAAACACAATACCCATTATACCGGGCTTTTGTTAATGTAAATAAAAAGAAACATTAGAAAAGTTCGATTAAATTTGATCATGAATCAAAATGGTGTTCCTGATTTGATAGTCAACAGTTTTTTTCATCAGATTCTGAAACACTACATACAGGTACACAAACACCAAACTTGCTCAAATTTTTTACCCTGTAGTATATGATATACTAGGGGTAAAAAATTCAAATGAGTTTCTGTGCCTGTGATACAGGCAAGAGTGTTATATCAGGTGGAATTTCACAATAGAAAACTTAAAGAAAATTGAATGCAATCATAATGTTTATCATAAAGAATAAGGTACAGTTTGGGCTTTATTGTGCCCTAAAAATTTAATGTTCTTTAAAAGTTATGAAATTAGCTTTAACAATAATTGAGTAGAAGAATACGATAAATCAGTAAAGATTATGGCACGAAGGTCAGCACCATTCTGGAAATATGACGTAAGTAATTTGGTACATTCCTATCTTCAATGCAAAGCCTCAGAATGACAAATTTCTGTGCTTAATTTCCTTTAGAAAATAGTGCTTGCCACCATCGCCCACTTCATTTTTTTGGGATATATTATGTAAATTGCAATGAAAAATCACATATCTCAAAATCTATAGTAGTCTCTCTCCAACACAGGAGTTATGTTTCTTTTGTAACAATTAAGTAGAAAAAGTTACTGACTAGACCAGAGGCCTGTTGAACAAAATGAATGTTGGCCAACACTTTCCAAGATTTATTTTATCTCCAACGGAAATGTTCTTGAGCATCAGAAATGATTCATGAACATTTTCTCAGTTGAGCAGGTCTCTGAATTTGAACTTTGAACTCTGTGTCCTTTACCATCAGGCAACTGAGCTATCTGACCACTGGTGAACAAACCTACTTTTATATGGCAATAGTGAATAGAATAAAATGACATTCCTTCTTCCTTAAATGTCCTAACACCCCCCCCCCTTTCCCAAAGACACCTCACCAACTCAGACTTGTCTTTGGAAGGTATCTTTCATCTGAGAAATGAAACAGGAAATAAGACAACATGTATTATTTTAACTATTAACTTTCCATTACCGTTTGAAACTTGTGCAGGTGTTTTATGGTATAATTGACATCAAACCTATGATTTAAAGACAGGTATTAATAATTATTAAATCATGGCACACCATAGATATATACACCATGAATATATATTTCACATCAGGGACAATGTCCTCTGCAGTTTACTCCACTACAAGCTCAGTGACTGCAGTTAGTAATGGTGATCACACATTGATAATCTTCTACAGTGGAAAACATCTCTCTTTGTAATCCATCTCCTGGAAAAAAATAGCCAGGGGCGAAACAGCTGATTCATATTTCTCCTCCATTGCGAATTGAAGAAACAGAGTTATGGCACGTAAATTAGGTATTTCTTACTTAATTTGCTTCTTTGATTGCCATGGCCAACAAAGAATGTAGCCAGAATCGTCTGCGACTTTTGGCGACCTTTGTGGGATTTCATGTAAAAGAGCCACTGATTCTGTGTACATCTTCCAGTCTCAATGACCAGGATCTGCCAATACACAGGGATTTATAGAAATCCATTAGACATATACTTTCTGGTATTGGAAGCTTTTTCGCATCATAAGAGATTTATATTTTTCTTATTAGGAGCCTGATGTGTTTGTTTGTTTTGGGTAGGAATAGGTTGCTTTTTTCAGGAGATCAATAAATATTTAGTAGATCTACTTATATACACATAATTATATATTTTGATTGGTGTTCTGATCTCTCAAGCTTGAAGAATCCTTGAGGTTGTGTATATTGACTGATGTAAACCAAAAATAGAAACACAATAAAAAATCTTTACTGTATAATTACATGTGATCTAGATATTTTAATGCCCAGCCAAGTTGCCTGTCTAGGAAATAAGCATGAATTATAAGTCAATTTGTTCACTTAGGTTTGTTTGATTGAATCTTAAAAGAGTGACTTGTGTTCCAAATGAAATGAGGATAGGACATTTACATTTTACTAAAATACGTGGTCAAAGGAATGTGTTTTTTTTGTTTTGTTTGTTTGTTTGGTTTTTTTTTTGCTTTGACAATTTTGTTGGTACGTGTTCTTGTTAAGCTCTGTTTTGGACAGCCCAAATAGGATTTTCATTTTCAGAGTTATTAACGAGGCCGAGTCTAATTATTTCTGCCTTAGGGATTTTGATAATTTTTTGATAATTAATTTTTACTGTAATATTAATTGTTTTAGGATTAAAAAATCGAATGTTTACCACCCCGATTTCTTAGTGGGCCTTCTTAAATGTTGTCAAACTTTAATACTATTGGACCCTATGGGAATTTGTTGGAAAATTGCCAAATTATTACATTTTTCCAATATTTTTTGTACTTCTGCCCAAGGGATTTCTTTTTCATTCAAGTAAATGAAAGTAAATGTAAAAAGTCACCAAATTGTAAAATTTCAAAAAGATCACCATCTCGATTGGTCTAGTTAGTAATTACTAGATTTATTTTTTCGAAGCCAAATACCTCTAAAATTGCTGTATTACGCTATAGATACATATCTTTGCTGATGAATTATCGGTGCATACAATTTTTTTCTGCATAAATAGCAATTTTTCGATTGCTAGTATATTTCTTGGGAAGTTATGTCATGAGTTTTTAGTATAATACAGTGTGTATCCATGAACGTCTTGAACATACAAGCGAGTCCTGCGTCATTCTTCGGCGTCATGCATTGCTTACAAAATCCGAAAATGGTGACGTTGTTAGAGCCATTTCAACATTCTTTTTCCAATAATTGTAGTTTAATCACATTTTCAGATCAGTAGGAGTTACAAATATTGTTTATTTTGTATTAAAATTATTTTCAAAGGTGTACTGTCACACAAATGACTGCATGAAATTAAAAAGCTGCGCAAAGTGATGCGCACTCAAATTAGACTCGGCCTCGTTAAGGTAAATCATATTCTGATTTCAACGCAACCTTTATTTGGTCAAATTTAAACATCAAAATCACAAAATTCTTGCCCCTGAGATATGGATAAGTTGGTCTCACATAATACATCCAAATAATTTAATTCAGTCTTTTTTTCTCAAATTTCTCACAGTAAAAACATAACCCCAAGGTTCCAGGTTCAAGCCCCCAGAGGTGGGCTTTAATTATCATGAAATATAAAAATCACACTGCATCTTTACTTTTGACATTTTACAAATGTAAATTCTACAAATTGTAAAATCTATTGACACAAAACTAAGGTGCCAATCTTGGATTAGGTTTATCATACATGTATAACAGAGTTATTTCGCGCATTTAATACTGTAAATCACTTTTTATTCGCGAGAACTTTATTTTCGAGTAATTACACGAAACAGTTTACTCGCGAAAATTTATTTCTCGCGTATAATAGTGTTCCTTAATATTATATAGAGCAATAACCAAAATTCGTGAAAATTTTGTCTCGCTTATCAAGAGTCAATGACTATCTCGTGAAAAAAAAGTGTCGCGAAAATTTAGTGATCTACAGTAAATAACACACTGGAACAAATGAAGCACAATAATCTTAACGTGAATGATTTATTTTTGAGGGGAAAAAAATGCTTCAAAATTACATACAATGAACATATGATTATAAATGTGTCAATTAAGTCCACAACTAGTGCAAATGAATGTCAGATCATTCTTCTATTCTTGAAATATAAAATGCAGTACTGTAATGAAAGATTGGCATGTAATCAACTTTCCTGCATATACGTGATTTTTTTAATTAGTTTATTATCACTAAGAGCCACAAACAGATTGTCATTTGTGTCTACACATAATCCCCAGGGACTTTTAAGTCCATATATGAAACGGAGGAACTGTCCATCCTGGTCCAGGATGTGAACACAGTCTTGGAAATGATTATTGATAAGGATGTGACTCTGACTGTCTGTGGTGATACCTTTTGGATAGAAGTGTTTGTTCATTGGAACAGAGATATCGCCAGCATATCTAAATCTCAGTTTCCCAGCCTGATTGACCACCACTATTTTCTCAGCTCCTTCATCAGCCACACAGATATCCAGGTTCTTGTTCTCAATGATATATTTATTAGATTTACCAGATGAATAGAGAGGAGTACCCTATCATCAAACTGAATGATTTGTTTCTTTGTGGAACCAGAGTAACGGACAACTCTTGTTGACTGTTTGAAATCATAACTGTTCATGACAACCAAGAGGTCACCTGAGAAGGTATAGCAGATATAAAGGGGTGTCCATTTCTTTAATTGGATCAAAGTCTCAATTTTTTTATTCTCTACAATGTTCACAGTTCTGTCTATAGGATCAGTATAAACAAGATTTCTTTGTCCTACTACTGCTATGTCAGCAGGGATGTTCCATGACTTGGTTTGGATAGTACTTACAGATGTTCCCCAAATGACACTGAAGAGTTTCATTATGTTCTCATCTCCACATGTCCAGACATTATCATCATTCAGACAGGCCACACTATTAAGTTTGTATTCATATTTGGTGTACATTGTAGTGTTAATCTCTGGTTCATCAAGCAGCTGCTTAACTGGAGGAGAACTGCAACCATGTCCTTTTGAAGTTATTTTACTTGGTGATATGGTCCCAAACAGGCTACTAAGTTTTTTCCCTTTAATTGTCCATGGAAAGAATGTAGGAAATGACAGTGCAAGGTTTTGTGGAAGTTTCCTGTATTCATCTGTTTTAAATGTAATGGTAAACAGTTCTGAAATATCAAGGGAGTCTAATATTCACAAGATTAATTGTGTTGATTTTATCCTTTATTTCAGAAATTTTCTCATTAATTTCATTCAGCTGATTCTTAAGAATTTTAAAATGGTTAGTTTTCATTTCATCAACTTCAGCTTTAAGTTTTGTAACAGCTTTGTCAATTTCTTGGTGCCATTCTTCTCCATGTTTTGTTATGGCTATTGAGAGATCTCCATATCCCTTTTCTAAATTCTTTATCATGTCTTCTACATCATGTGCAATGTTTTGGTATGTTGGAAGTATTGGATCCTTCAATTCATTTTTCTCTCTGATTTATATCTTTTCTTTTCTTTCACCCAGAACTTCCAAAACTTTCAAAAAATTGTGCTCTGAATGTTTATCAGATGTAATGCAATTGTTGCAGACAGGCTTTTCACATTGTTTACAGTACATTTCACATCAAATTTTTTCATGTGAAGTACACTGAGGGTAAAGTAGAGTTAATTTATGAAAATTGAGTCTTACAATTTCATGTTTTTCTTGGGATCCGTTAGATGCCATGTGTTCACCAATACAGGCATTGCAAAGTTTGACATACAGTACAGCTCACGAGTTTCTTCCGGATTCCACCGGCCACGGTGGACCTATGTTCCACGCTTTTCCGTGGAACTTTAGAAACGTCGGCGTCTTTGAAGTTCGGTCTCCGATCCACGGTGTGACACGGTGCGAACACGGTGTGACACGGTGCCTAAAAATTGCAATAATGTTCCTCCACGGTGCGACACGGTGTGCACACGGTGTGACACGGTGCCTAGAAAGTGTGGCAATGTACGTCCACGGTGCGACGCGGAGTTAATCCACGGTGCGAGTCGGTGTGTCAGCACGGTGTAACGCGGTGCATTTCTTCCAATTTTACTTAAAATGTTGTATAATTCTTTAATTCTTCAAACAAATCACTCAAAGCAGGTCTATACATATATAAAATCAAAGTAACATTCCAATGTCCAATGCACGTATTTTGAAGACATGTTCAAAGAAAGTATATTGTTGGTATTGAATTGTTCAAAGTTATATCACAATAGTTTATTGTTTTAATTTATGAAGATAGTATAGTAATGGATAATACATTATTCAAATGTGTTTATACTTCTTTTTGTTATTTATTCTTATTCTATAATAATGTCGGAAGAGTTCCGTCGTCTTAATACGTCGGTAGCGTATAACCTCTTAGGCCTGCACCCTGTATTAGTTACACCTGTAAGCGATTGAACACAAGATGACACACCTGTATACACACGTGCCTGGTCCTGACGTAACCCACATATTATTGTTGACCCCATCCCCCATTTTCACTATTACATGTACATCCCTCCTTGATTTTTTTAATTATAAATTTGCATGGCTCAGTTCTTTTAAAATACCTGTGTCACACATTCACTGTGAATCCTATATACATGTACCTGTTCTATACATAAGTGCATGTACATATTTATATACAATGTATATAATAACAAAAATTCTCTAATTATGTAACAAAAACAGACGAAAAAAATCATTTTAAAACTACCTGTGGGTTTATTAAGAAGTATGGAACATAAAGCCCCCTTTTAATCTCTCTCTCTTTCTATCTCTCTCGGATACCAGTGGCGGATTCTGAGGGGGGGGGGGTTCACCAAAACATACACCCCATCCGTGGATTTGCAAAAAAAAAAAAAAAAAAAAAAGAAACAGAAAGAAGAAAGTTCCATTTTTTTGTTGTGTTCTTACTACAGAAATATAGATATGTAAACTGAAAGTCTAATGTTGTAATATATAAAGAAATTTGATTGCGAAAACAAAATGAAACCCCCCCCCCTTAACAAAATAGGATTTTCGGGTTTGGAGATATATTTTCCTTTCTTTTTCAAAAACTTTTAGGTAATCCATACAAATACTTTTTCCGAGGTTGATCAACCTCCCACGTTTAAAAACCATACTTCATCCTATATCCTATCGAGTTGTTTAATTACATGTATATGTAAAACGTACGTTATAGTTACAACTCTTTTCCCTTCAATCCCCTCTTTGAAAAACCCTTCAACCCCCTTCCCCCCTTTTCAAAAATTTATATAATTCCAATAATGTGTGTGTTACTACTGCTTCGTACATGTACTCATTTATACAAGGTTAAAATGTTCTTTTTCAGAAAGTATTAATTCGTAATTTACATGACTGAGTGTACACGTTTTGAAAATACATTTTGTCACTCAATGATTGACATATTTAAACTAATTTTCAGAAAGGTGAGGGAAATAAGGCATGATTATTTAAAAAAAATAATTAATTTTTCATCAAAAGAGACGATTAATATCTTAAATATGCTCAGTTTCCATGTCCTATCCTTTACCGAAATCAAAGTCTATCAATTTCTTTGAAGTGATTATTACTCGGCAAATCATTGGTTAAGATAAGGATTATTGCAGTTATAAACACTGAAAATCTAAAATAATTGTAAAATATGGAAATAAATTATATTAAATGCGGCAAAATCTACTGAACAGGCAGAGATGATAATCCGATAAATATTATTAATTTAAGTAGTGAATGCAGATCAACTTACACGCTGAATACAAAAATCACCAGCAGAATTTTTGGCAAATAAAATCTTCTAACCTCAGTACAAATATTACTTCATTCAGAAATGTATATCGTATGAAAAATGAAAAGAAAAAAAAACAATTTGCGTTGAAAACATAAAGATATTGAGCAATTTTAGAAATGGTTTGTTACCCCCCCCCCCCCCCTTTTCTAGAAAGTGATACGAATTGGCTAATTAAAACTTTATCAGAAGTCAGCAAATTTATTTAAGTTTTTAAAAATCTTAATACATGCTTATTTGTGTCTGAAAAGGATAAATAAATTAACAAAGTACATGTAAGTTTATATTCATTGCTGTAGTGAAACCTGGAAGATGAATTTCGTTTGATATCAGTTGAGTGTGTTATACACTTGCTGTGATCAGAGCTAAAGAATGTAAAAGGTGTGATAGACATACGGCGCCCCTGGCCCACCGGCAGGGACCCCAATATATTTATCAAACAGGTGTGAACTCAGAACTGACCATGAGAATGGTTCAAATCACGAGAGAAATTCTTTCCGCGTAAACAGACTTTCAAGGTCACCTAGCGTCATGCGATTTTGATTGACAGGAGAATGAGTTGAAGCACAAGAATCTCGCGCGTACAGCATGTACATGATTCATTAAATGGGTTTAATATGAACCAAAGTTGTGGAAATTAATTAGAATTATAGAATGATTAATTTTGACCTCCGTAACCTAAATAAAACGAAGAATTTAAAAAAAAACATCAATAACAGACTATGTAAGAAGGAGTTCTCTCTCTCGCGTATTGCTTTTTACACACTTGACAAGAAAAGAAAAGCTGATTAAAATTTAAAAAAATCTTCTTGAAATAATTACTTACACTAACATAAAGTAGTAAACATTAGTCTATGAAAATAATGATTGCTGTTACGAGAAATACGCTTGGAAATTACTGCATTTCTGAACAGGTATGAAATAGATTTACCAAGAAGTGACTCTGTACACTAATTAACAAGAGATTTTGTAATTCATCGATATCCGGGAGATTTAATTTCTAAAAGAAAAAAAATTAGAGGTCTGGTACAAATATTATGTATTTGAGAATGTGAAAAAAACCGGATAGATGAACATGAAAGTAAAATCTTTCTCTCTCTCTCTCTCTCTCTCTCTCTCTCTCTGAACATTCTAAAATGTAGGACTGAATTGAAATCTGTTCAGTTTAATTATTATGAAAAAAGTAAATTATATATGATTTGTAGAGGAATATTTAGAATGCTGCTTTAGCAGTTCAAGCAATTTTTGTTTTACTTTTTTTTATTTTATTTTTTTATAATTTTCATACTGATCGCAGAAGATTTATAAACAAGAAAAAGAATACCCGATACGCAGGTAGAAATACTTCCACATGTTCGAAAGAAATTGAAGTTTTCTATGTCTCAAAATGTCAGTATAAATCAATGGATACATACAACTGTCAGATTTTTTGTGTGAATTTAACTATACAACTAGTCAACTACCAAACTACCGTAACGTATAAGTAATTATCGTGAATAGTAGAGTTTATTTTTCTTGCATGCTCTTTTTCTTCCTTGCATGTAGCAACTTACTAGTATCTTCATTGATATGTGGTCTACACTAATTATTTCTACAAAATAAAGGTATATTAATAATCTGTTTGAATATCATATACTGACAGTGACTTGACATTTTTTTTTATTTCACTATTTTTATTTACGAAGTAGGAATCAGATAATGTTGAATTAGTTATCTGATATATTTAATATTTGTGAATATCCTTTTATAACAATTATTTTACAGAGAAAATAATCGCTAAATTTATCGACCCGTGTCTATGTTTCGCACTGAATAAGTTAAACAGCAATGTACTTGTACTTGGATTTGTACATGCGGATTTATATCGGAAACATAATAATTTGCACAATAGATATATATTATTGTTCTTGTTTTCAAATAAATATGAAATATGAATTCAACAGAAATAGAATTTAAATTTATTCAATATACTAGGCAATCATACCGTCAATGGCTAACCAAAGTTTACACCTCGAAGCTGTTATATTATGAACTCGCATGTATGTAAAACGAGCTGTTTGTATTAAGTCAATCTTCCTTTTCGATTTTTTTTCTAGCTATCAAATAATCATTATTTATAATTTCAAAATTCTGTAACTGAAATGCTTTTATAAACAAACTATT